GCGTCCTGCTGCCTCAAGCCTCGAGTGCTGGGACTACAGGCATGCGCCACCATGCCCGGCTCATTATATATATATATATATATATCATGGCAATTAATTCGTACTTTATAGTAGAACAGAGTCCGCTCTTCTAGCTGGTTTTGAACTCGCCTGACCTTGGAGCAATCCGCCCGTCTCGGCCCCCAGAAGAGCTAGGATTACAGGCGTGAGCACAGCGGCCGGCCCATATATGGCTTTTATCATGTTGAGGTATATTCCGTCTATGCTTAGTTTGTTGAAGTTTTCATTTATCATGAAGAGATGTTGAATTTTATCAAATGCATTGTCTGCATCTATTATATGATTGTATAGTTAGAAACCTATGTACACTCTAGAATCACATTTATACAATTACATAAAAATTATGTGTGTATAATAAAAATTATGTAATACTACATAAATTATCAATTAATAAATTATGAAAATTTTATAAAGTACACAACAGTCAACACAAGCACATACACAACTATGTACACAAACACACATAACAATGTAAGATTTTTCACTGCATTTAAGGACCACATAGTATGATCCTAGGCCAAACTCTGGACTTAAAATGTTTTCCTGAAAGTTGTCATGTGCAACCTCAGCCTTGCACCATCTCCAGTGGTACATGATAGAGAACTTCTCATCCATTCTGCATCTCATAGAGTATTTTGTAATATTGAAAAGAAAAAAATCCTTCTAGTATATTGGGGACAACAAGACAACTTGACATTCTCTAAAACTGAGAACAGATAACCATGTCAGGACATCTGTTCCAATAAATAGATGTGAGGAGGAAAAAGGGGGTTCTGTAGCCAAAGCAGCTTAGGAAATCTCTTATGGGAGATTCACAGTGCATACCAATACATTAAAGGTGCTGAAAAGTCTCCATGGTAAACAGAAGTTCCGTTGAACCTAGAAAATCCAAATAAGTTGAGTTGACTGTGGAACACTTCCTTCTTTCTTCTCTTTTGTGCGATACTAGTTAATATCACAGACCAAGCTCTGAAGAACACCTTGAAGGAATTCCAGGTTAGATCATTTCAGAGTTAAAGTCCTTGCACTTGAGCAATTTTAGATACTGAGAAAAACCAACAAACAAAGAAGAACCGATGGATAGACTGAATCTGTTGTGGAATCAGAAAACATGTTCTTTGTGATTGTATAGTTTATATTCTTACATCTGTGATGTATCACATTTATCGATTTGCATATGTTGAGCTATACTTTCATCCCTGGGATAAATCTTACTTGATCACGATGTATTGTGATCAAGTAATATTTTGATATTTTGTTGGATGTGGTTTGCTAATATTTTGTTGAGGATTTTTGCAGTTATGTTTATCATGGATATTGGCCTATAGTTTTGTTGTTGTTGTTGTGTTCTTGTCTGGTTTTGGTATCAGGGTAATGCTGGCCTCATAGAATGAGTTAGGAAGAATTGCCTCCTCTTCAATTTTTTGAAATAGTTTGAAAAGGATTGCAAATCAAAACCACAATGAGATACCATCTAACACCAGTGAGATTGGCTTGTATCACGAAATCCCAAAACAACAAATGCTGGTGAGGATGTGGAGAGACAGGAACACTCTTACACTGTTGGTGAGACTGCAAATTAGTGCAACCTCTGTGGAAAAGAATTTGGAGATACCTCAAACAGCTAGATATAGAAATACCATTTGATCCAGCAATAGCATTGTTGGGCATCTACCCCAAAGAGCATAAGACATTCTACTATAAAGACATCTGTACCCGAATGTTTATAGCAGCACAATTTACTATTACAAGATCATGGAAACAACCCAAGTGTCCATCAGTTCATGAGCGGATAATTAAAATTTGGTTATGCTCACAATGGAATACTACTCAATTCTAAGAAATGACAGACTGTGAGCTAGCACCATTTATGCTATCCTGCATTAAGCTTAAGTCTGTTATCCAAAGTGAGGTGACACAAGATCAAGAAAACGGTTCCACATCTACTTACCATCAAATTGGTACTGACTGATTAAAACTACGGGGCTTAAATGGTGATAGTGCCCACCAGTGTTTGGGGGAGGGGGAGATACACATCATAGGATTGTGGTGAGCATTGTGGGGGGGGGCAGGGAGGGAATAACTCTAACCCTTCCTAGGGAAAGGCAAAGATATACCATGTAACCCAAAGGTCAAAGAAAGAAAAAAAAACAAACTTTTATCGGGGTGGTGGGCAGATGGGAGAGGGGAGGAGGGGAAGAATTTATATTTACAAAATAGGTGCGATGCGCACCACCTGGGGGTAGGACACAGTTGATGTTTTGGTAAGGCAGGGGGCGGAGGGAGGAATGGCAGGGGCAATATATGTAACCCTAACAATATTTGTAACCCCATAATTTGATAAAATAAAGAAAAGGGGCCAGGCGCGGTGGCTCACGCCTGTAAACCTAGCTCTCTGGGAGGCCGAGGCGGGCGGATTGCTCAAGGTCATCCCTACTCGGGAGGCTGAGACAGAAGGATCGCTCGAGCCCAGGAGTTTGAGGTTGCTGTGAGCTAGGCTGATGCCACGGCACTCACACTAGCCTGGGCAACAAAGCGAGACTCTGTCTCAAAAAAAAAAAATAAAAAAAATAAAAAAAAAAAGAAGAAAAGGATTGGTGTTAGACTTGTAGACTTGAGCAGTAAGGCCTCTGGTCCTAGGCTCTTCTATATTGGGAGACTTTTGATTACTGATTCAATCTTATTACTTGTTATTGGTCTGTTTGGGTCTTATATTTCTTCATGGTTCAACCTTGATAAGTTGTATGTGTCCAGAAATTTATTCATTTCTTCTAGGTTTTCCAAATTGTTAACATATAGTTGTTTATAATTATAAATAACTCTAATGATCTTTTGTATTTCTGTATTATCAGTTATAATGTTTCCTTTTTTATTTCTGATTTTATTTATTTGAGTCTTCTCTCTCTTTTTCTTGGTTTGTTGACTTTATTTTTTCAAAAACCTAACTTTCATTTCATTGATCCGTTGTATTTTTTTAGTCTCTATTTTGCTTAGTTCTGCTCTGATCTTTATTATTTCTTTGCTTTTATTATTTTTGTATTTAGTTTGTTCTTGCTTTTCTAGTTCCTTGAGATGCATTGTTAGGTTGTTTATGTGAAATATTTCTACTTTTTGATGTAGACATTTATTGCTATACAATTACCTCTTAGCATTGCTTTTTCTATATACCATTGGTTTTAATAAGTTATGTTTCTATTTTCATTTGTTTCAAGAATATTTTTATTTCCTTATTAATTTCTTCATTAACCCAATATTTTTAAATTAAGGTTTGTACAATTTTTTTTAGACATAATGCTATTGCACACTTACTAGACTACACTATAGTGTAAATGTAGCTTTTATGTGCACTGGAAAACCAAAAAAATTTGTGTAACTCACTTTATTATGATATTTGCTTTCTTGCAATGGCCTGGAATCAAACCCACAATATATTCCAGGTATTCCTATATGATTATTATAATGCCAGGATGTATTGACCACTTTAAATGCATTATTTCTTTCATCCTCACCTTATTATTCTTTTTTTTTGATAGGTGAATTACAGAGAGATTATGCAGATTTTTCAAACTCAAAACAAGATTTAACCTCAGGTATTCTGGCTGCAGAGTCTATACTCTTAATCACAATAGTTGGCTACCAACGAGGATTCAGAAACCCAGGTTCTGACAATCCAAGTAACTTTGGCTCCTACTGTGTGCCCAGAACTAAGTAGGACTTATCTTGTAAGCTAGACAAAGGTGGTTCTTTAAACCCTGTCACATCCTATAATTTAATCTGTGTATATAGCTGTCTTTGGTACCTGCACTACCGGAGACACAAGATACCAACTGGTGTAGTAAAGAACCTTCTTGTTCTCTAAATTACTGGCTAAGTATGATCGTGGTGAATCACCACTTAGGAAGTTGTTAAAGAGGATCCAGGGTCAGCCCAATGATGTATCCAAATCCTATGTCCATTGCCTGGACTCCTATTGATGAGTGCTGCCAAGAATGCAGGGTGTTTGTCTGACATGACAGTATCCACTTATGTGGAAGCTCTGTGGGAATGATGGCACCCAGGAAGAAGCCTGCTCCCAGAATGCAGGAAACACTTTAGGGTGATGGGATTCAAGAATTCAAGGCAATAGTGCTTGAGATATCTCCAGATGACATTGCCAAGGAAAACAGAGTTGAATGAAGGTCAGAATAATTAAATTTTATTAATGTTTCTTCTTTCCTTTCAAAAATGGAGGACACAGCCACATCAACACTAGGCCTGGCATATCCATGAGGTTTTGGTCAGGAAAAGAGAACCACCATGAATATTATCGGAATAAGAGATTTCATGTAGGAATTAGAGTTTATGTGAATGTGATAGGAGCTAAAAGAGCGAAGATGTAGAAGGCTTCCAGAAGTCTATAGAAAAAGTCACTGTGGAGGAGTTCTAAAAGCTACCACTTCTGGCCTCCTTGACCTAGGAATAATGGCTTCCTCTTTGCTTCCACCTTCTTAATTTCACAGAAATTTCTTTCATTGGAAAACTGTAACCCAGAACTATATAGGAAGAGGTTCCCAGACTTAGAAAGGTGTGATGATAATGATGGTGCCAAGTTTGTAGCAGATAAATATGACAGACCTGATATAAAATCTCTATGAGTGTAAGGATCAAAGTGATGAAGAGAGAACTCCCCCAACTACTCTCACCAATACCCTCTGCTTTTTGACCTGCATCTGCATACCACAGAATCCCCATTTGGGATCAAGGTTACCCTCTACACCCTCCTACTATCTACATGTGGAGGAAAAAATTCAATGCCAGTTTCACTGCAACATGTTTTTCTATCCCTGGTAACTTTTCTAAACTATTGCCACTTTCCATGAGTCAAACGCAAACCTCATTTTCTACTTTTAGAGAAAATACCGATCATTTCTTAATTTCTTGTGACACCTTTAGAAACTTACCTCCTGTGCACTCCTCCTGTCCTACTGATGTTCTCTTGCAGTGTGAAAAAATTTTCAACTCTGTTCTAGGGCAATCCATGTTGTTCTAGGTCCCATCGTCTCCCATATTCTTATGGAACTTCTTTCCTTGACAGCTTCCTTTGACAGCTCTGCCCTTAATACTATCTCCTCTCTTGGCTTCAGTAATACCACTGTTCTCTAATTCTCTTATTATTTTTTTTTCACTCTTCACTGTCATATCCTCATTTTTCTTCTGTGCACACTTTAAATATTGCATTCCCTTGTGTTCTATCTGAAGTCCTTTTTTTCCCTTTATTTGTATACTTTTTATGTTATTTATTTTTATAAATATTTTATAGATTGTACACATTTTGAGAAGACTCTGGAAATAAATCATCAGTGCCTCTATTATCCGTAATGTTTTTACTCTCAGGGGAAGCCCTTATGAAATAGTTATGTACTATCTCCCAAGAAAGAAATTTACTCATGTCCATTGTGATGATACTATTACTGTCATAAATAACTACAGCCATCAGTTTCAATATCAGACAGAGCTCTTCTTCCTTCTGATACTTGCCTAATGGCTCTGCTACAAGCTACAGCTAGAATTTATACCTTCAGCAAAGACGAGTTTCAGAACCTGTGCAAAGGACTGTACCAGCAGAATGAACTGTTGCCACTTCAGTCAAGTACAGAGTACAGGCTTTCAAGCAGGTATTAGACAAATGTCATTACTATTTCAGGGCCTAAGTCAGGTTTTCCAGGATTTTTTTCAGTCCAGCAACAGACATATTTTATGAAAGCAGTATCCAGTGGAATAAGACTGACTTACTAAGGACTGAATGAACTGATGAGGCTAATTTAGTTGTGGTTATTTGTTTGGATATTATTGGTGTTATTTGAATGTTCTATTCTTCATGGTTATATGAGGAAGCCCTTTCTCTTTTTTGCGGGGAGGCGGGCAGCTATATCTTAAGTGTTGGTTTAATAGACTATGCTTCTGTAAACTGAAATGAAACAATTTTAATGGTATCTGATTCTCATTCATTCCTTAGAATTCAGAAACAACTTTTACTAAGATTTGTGACTTTACTTGCAATATAGTTATTTGGATAAGATTGAATAAGAATCTTGCTCTGTTTTTACCAGAACATGATTGGAAAAATCAGTTGTGCAATCGGTATCATATTTCAGAGTGATTCTCATTTAATCAGCTATGAAAAGTCCACTATATTTTTATTTTTTTTATTCAAGAAAATATGAGAATACAAACATTTTGATTGCATTTTATATCTTTGTCCTCCCTGCAAGGTTAGATATGCCCTCTCTCACAGATGCCACGCACATCCCAGATGTGGGTCTACCCCTCACACCCCAAACTTCCCTGTGAACGACCACCACCTTTTGACACCATATGTTAATCAGTCAGTTACCAGTTGATTGGATGTAATGTGGAGCCCACTCTTTCGATCTTGTGTCACCTCACTTTGGATAACCGGCTTAAACTCAATCCAGGATAATATAAGCGGTGCTAGCTCACTATCATTTCTTAGAATTGAGTAATATTCCATTGTAAACGTATACCAAATTCTAATAATCCACTCATGAATTGATGGGCACTTGGGTTGTTTCCATTCCTTGCAATAGTGAATTGTGTTGCCATAAACATTTGGGTGCAGATGTCTTTATAATAGAATGTCTTATGCTCTTTTGGGTAGAGACCTAATAATGCTATTGCTGGATTGAATGGTATTTCTATTTTTAGCTCTTTGAGGTATCTCCAAATTCTTTTCCATAAAGGTTGCGCTAATTTGCAGTCCCACCAGCAGTGTAGGAGTGTTCTGCTCTCGCACTCTCTCCAGCATGTGTTGTTTGGGGATTTTTTGATAGAGGCCAATCTCACTGGGGTTAGGTGATACCTCATTGTAGCTTTGATTTGGATTTCTCTAATGATTAGAGATGTTGAACATTGTTTATATGTTTGCTGGCCATTATTCTGTCTTCTTTGGAAAAGTTTCTGTTCATTTCCATTGCCCATTTCTTGATGGGGTTTTTGATTTTTTTTTTCTTGTTAATTCTTTTGAGTTCTAGATAGATTCTTGTTATCAGACCTTTATTGGAAGTGTAGAGAGAAAATATTTTCTCCCATTCTGTAGGTTGTCTATTTGCTCTAATGACAATTTCCTTGGCTGTGCAGAAGCTTTTTAATTTGATCAGATCTCATTTTTTTTATTTTTGTTGCTGCAGTGATTGCTCTGGGGATCTTCTTCAAGAATTCTTTGCCTAGGCTGATGTCTGGAAGGTTCTTCCTAACATCTTCTTCTAGGATTCTTAAGGTTTCATGACTTAGGCTTAAGTCTGTTATCCATCTTGAGTTGATTTTTGTGAGAGGTGAGAGGTAGGGATCCAGATTCATTCTTCTGCATGTAGCTATCCAGTTTTCCCAGTACCACTTATTGAAAAGAGATTCTTTTCCCCAGGGTATATTTTTGTCTGCTTTATCAAAGATTAGGTTGCCATATGCAGATGGTTTCATCTCTGGAGTCTCAGTCCTGTTCCAAAGATTGATGCCTCTGTTCTTGTGCCAGTCCCATGCTGATTTAATTATTATTGCTTTATAGTACAGCTTGAAGTCAGGAAGACTGATGCCTCCTAGTTTGTTCTTTTTATCTAAGATTGCTTTGGCTATACGAGGTCTTTTCTGGTTCCATACAAAGTGAAGAATTATTTTTTTCTAGATCTGTAAAGAATGTTGATGGTGCTTTGATGGGGATTGCATTTATTCTGTAGATCACTTTAGGTAATATTGACATTTTAATGATATTGATATTACCAATCCATGAACGAGGTAGATTTTTTCCATCTGTTTACATCTTCTACAATTTCTTTTTTTAGCGTTTTGTAGTTCTTGTCTTTCATATCTTCCATTAAATATATTCTTAGATATTTAATTTTCTTTGGGACTATAGTAAATGGTATTGCGTTTTTGATTTGAGTTTCGGCTTGACTGTTATTGGTGTATATGAACGCCTCTGATTTGTGTGTATTGATTTTGTAACCTGAGACTTTACCAAAATCATTTATTAAATCTAAGAGTCTCATGGATGAATCCATGGGGTTTTCTAGATATAATATCATATCATCAGCAAAGAGTAAGAGTTTGATCTCATCTGCCCCCACTTGGATGCCCTTAATACGCCTCTCTTTCCTGATTGCTATAGCTAGGACTTTGAGCACTATGTTGAATAGAAGAGGAGATAGTGGTCATCCTTGTCTAGTTCTGGTTCGAAGTGGGAATGGTTTCAATTTTTCCCCATTCAGTATAATATTGGCCATGGGTTTGTCATAAATGGACTTGATAATTTTAAGGTATGAGCCACCTATGCCTATTTTGTTAAGAGTTTTTTATCATAAAGCTGTGTTAGACTTTGTCAAATGCTTTTTCTGCATCTATTGAGAGAATCATATGGTCTTCGTTCTTGTTTTTATTTATGAGGTGAATTGCATTTATAGATTTGCGTATGTTAAACCAGCCTTGCATCCCTGGAATAAAGCCCACCTGGTCATGGTGAAATATTTTTTGATGTGCTGCTGAATTCTATTTGCTAAAATTTTGTTGAGGATTTTTGCATCTATATTCATGAGGAATATTGGTCTGTAATTTTCTTTTTTTGTTGCATCCTTTCCTGGCTTTGGTATCAAGGTGATATTGGCTTTGTAGAATGAGTTAGGAAGGATGCCATCCTTCTCAATGTTGTGGAATAATTTCTGTAATATAGGTATTAGTTCATCTTTGTATGTTTGATAAAACTCTGAAGTGTAGCCATCTGGTCTGGGACTTTTCCATTTGTGCAGGTTATTAATTACTGCTCCAATTTCTAAGCTTGAGATTCATCTATTCAGAAATTCTGTTACCTCCTGGGTGAACTTAGGGAGGTTGTATGTTTCCAGGAATTTGTCCATTTCATCCTCATTATGTAGCTGAACTAAATGAAATTGAGAACAAGAGAATTATATGGAAGATCAACAAAACCAGAAGCTGGTTTTTTGAAAAGATAAACAAAATTGATAACCCTCTTGCTAGATTGACAAGAACTCAAAGGGAAAAGACTCTAATAAACTCAATAAGAAATGAAAAAGGAGAGGTCACAACAGACACTATAGAAATACAAAACATTATTTTTGATTACTATACAAAACTATATGCCCCAAAACTATTTGTATACATACTTTTTTTATGAGAGACTTATTCCTATCCATGACTTTGACATTAATACAATTAGTTTTTTTTTTGTGTGTGTGTTAGACAGAGTCTCACTCTGTTGCCCAGGCTAGAGTGCCATGGCATCAGCCTAGCTCACAGCAGCCTCAAACTCCTGGGCTCAAGTGATCCTCCTGCCTCAGCCTCCTGAATAGCTGGGACTATGCGCCAACATGTCTGGCTATTCTTTCTACATATTTTTAGTTGGCCAATTAATTTCTTTCTATTTTTAGTAGAGATGGGGGTCTCACTCTTGCTCAGGCTGGTCTTGAACTCCTGACCTTGAGCAATCCTCCTGCCTTGGCCTCACAGAGTGCTGGGATTACAGGCATGAGCCACCCCACCTGGCCTTAATCCAATTTGATAACTGATTGCCTCTTTCCTGAACTTCAGACTAGTATATTCAACTGTTCTTAGCTCTACTTAGATGTTATGTGAGGTAGGCTAAGCTGCTATAATGAAAAGACTCTAAAAAGTAATGACTTGAAGGACAATAAGCATATTTCTCTACCATATAAGTATCCCAAAATGAGTGTCCTAGATGAGAAGACAGCTCTGATACATGCAGGGACCCAGGCTAATAGAGGCTAATGCCATCCTCAACTTATGACTTCCGTAGGTAATTTTGGTCATCACCATTCTAAGCAGTAAAAAGAGGAAGGAGAAAAAATCTAGGCACAAGGATTTCTTCTTAAGCAAGTGAGAAAGAAGTTGCATTCTTTGCTCTTGGTCACATTCCACCAGCAAAATCTTACTCATATGCCCACCGCCGCACTGCAAGGTATGACTGGGAAATGCAGTTCCAAAGGAGGACTGGGCAGCCAAATATTAGCTACCATTATGTAAAGAAGAGAGAAAATGGATTCTGGTAGACAATGAGCAATCTCTTCTATAGGTATCAATACGTACAAAATGGACTTCATAATTTTTCCCACTTTGTTTTTCTCTTCTTCCTTTAATTCTTTTATCTGTTCACCATAATTCACCCCATTATGTATAACAGAATCCCAAGAATTATCCTAAACTCCAGTCTCTCATATTCCAAATCCAATATATCATCAAATTCTGTCAATTTTAGTGTCT